CGGTTCGAAGCCCGGCCCTGGGAGGGGCGGCCCCCACCGGCCCGGGCGCTGCGGGCGCCCCGCGGAGCGCTCGGCACGGGGCTCTCGTTGCTGCCGGGGCTCCGGGTCTCTGCGGGCTGTGGAGCTCTCTCCCGCTGGGGGAGATGGGGAGCAGCGGGAAGCGCTCGTATGTGAAAACCCTCCCCCAGTTCCCGGGGGGTTAGGAAACATCCCAGCTTTTTGTCATGAACCAAGGTCCTTCTGTCTGCCTGCACCAGCCACCCCTTCCCATTCCCACCGCCAAGGATGGGGTTGGAGGATTCCACAGGGCTCCCAGTGCCAGGTCGGGGCCGCTGCGATGGCTGCACGCGGTGCGGGGGGCTGTGACCGGAGCTGGGCAACCTGGCGCTTGCGGGGCCGTGGAGCCCGCTCTGAGCAGCCCGGTCCTGCCTGGAGCAGGAGGCCTCCAAAGTGACACCTCTTTTCCCTTCAAGCCGAGAGCTCGTGTTCGGCGCGAGAGCACTTTGCTGCCCTTCCGTGGGGAAGGGGCCGAGGTTTGAAACCCCTGATGGGGACGTAAAAACACAGGAGGCGATGGGAGGATAAACTTGCTGTAGAGGAAGGTGTTGAAGGAGCCCTGGCATAAGCACTGTTTGTTTTAGCCTGTTTCTACACCTCTGCTCCCTCTAAGAGGGTCACCAGGCTGGGAGCTGCCTGCAAGGACAGGAGAGGCAGCAGTGGGAGGAGATGGCCGTGATGGGCTTTGTCTTGTGCCCCGGGGTGTTTTGTTTCACGTGCTAATTAGCATTGTGGAAATACCTGTGTAAAATCACCTTGTAATTTAGGAAGTTTGGTGTGCTGCTGTAAGGCTGCTTTTAAATTGTCATCAGCACAGTTCATTGCTAGGGCTATATCTCATGATTGCCATAGAAGCTTCTACTGCTGTACTAAAAGTAATTTAATGAGCTTTATTCCCCAGGTTACTTCCATCCCTATAAACAGAAAATCCCAGCCCTGCGTTCCTGCAGGTGGATGTTTAGGAAGGGCAATTACTTTGTTGCATTAAATCTTGCAAGTCTTCCTTGAGAGTTTCTGTATTTTTTTTTATTATTATTATTACACTTTCTCTAAGGTGTTTTTTCTTTTCTTTTTACCCAACTTGACTCTGAAAGCAGGAAGCTTGGGTGTTTTAGCTGTGACTATTTCAGCGAGCTCAAGCAGGGAGCGTTGCTGATGGTTAACCCGTGTCGTCGCAGACAAGGTGGGAACAGCTACGTTCATGGCACCGAACAGCCAGGTGCCCGGCTGCGGGCCCGGCTGCAGGAGGAGCCGACGGGCACAAGGAAGCACCGCTCAGTATCGCTGTGAATGAGACACCGTGTTTTCTGGCACTGTGAAGCTAAGACTTCACACTGCGAGTGATGCAGCATGGTCACTTCAGAGCCTTTAGAAAACGCTACTTTATCTCATTCAAAGCCTGTACTGAGGTATTTTGAGCCCCTCAACGTGCTGTTAAGATTACGTACATTTCGACACTTCTTACCAGAGGATGGAGGGAATAGATGTGACGGGAATGGATGTGCTGAAAAGCTTGAATTATGATGTTTCAGTAGAAAACCAGTTTTACTTGTATTTTAGTTTGGAGTTAAACCATTGAAACATTTCAAAATAGATTAGTTTTGCTGCCTTTCAACAATACAGAAAAACTGAACGATAAAGGTGCATAATACATTTTTCCATATTTCCTTATCCCTTGCATAAAGATTTCTCTGGAGTGAAGCTTGCGTCAAGCAGACCCAGTTGGCTTCTAGTCTGCAAAAGTGTTAAGTTTAATCTTGTTCCAGCTTAATTTTAATGTCATGGATTGAAATTTTATGCGTGGCCATTTTTCTTTTTTGCGAAGAGTTGGATTTGGAACGAAAGCAAAATGGCTCGAGGACGCAAGAGCAATAGCATCAAACAGAGCGACTTCACTAACAGCACCAACCCGCAGGATTTAGAGAGAAGACTTTTTGTCGGCAATTTGCCCACTGACCACATGACTCGTGAAGAAATGGAAGAGATATTTTCAAAATATGGCAAAATAAGGGGTTAGTATTTTATCTTATGCCTTTTTGTGGCTGGGAATTCAGTCAGAAGTTTAACATTCGTGCCTGTTCAACATTATCTGATGGTTTTAAGAGGAATGACAAATACTATGCCTAAAAGTGACCCTTTAAAGATAAATTTCTCCACCTGCACTTTCTCTGAAACTGTAGTTACTTCAGTGTGGCTGAAGCCAAATGTATGCATGAGCTATGTTGAACCTTAGGGGGTTGAGATGTGGTGTTGTGCCAAACAAATCTATTTCAAGTGATTTCATTGTCTCTTACTTGAATTTTGGTCACCTAATGGCCTTTTTTTGGTCACTGCCCTGTTAGCAAGAAGTTAATCTACTTTGTAATATTGTCTAATGCTTTAAATTACTTAAGCTTTGCATTCTGATCTTGGTAGATGTCATTTTCCCGAGGGACCTTGGCAGCTGTTTCTGCACAATGCCCCTTTGCCTGTTGCATCTGATGTAGTGAGCTGCTGGAGTGCTCGTGCCCCTCCGTTGTAACCAGTCTTGCCCTGCTGTTGCCTTTTCCAGCCCTCAGCATGTTCCATGGCTATGGGTTCGTCCAGTATGAGCGTCTCGAAGACGTCCAGGCCGCTCTGGACGGTGAGAAGGGGCGCCTTTTTAAAGGGTATAGATTAGGTAAGGAACTGATCCGTGCTCTCCTCCTGACCCTGGCATGTGTTCTGGTAGAAAGAGTGCTCTTGTTTAGAGCTCTGCAGAAAGATCGGTGTGTGAAACCTGCCCAGCATTGCACTAAAATATTTTCTACTCGGTTTGGATTTTCCTTCCGAGTGCTGTGTGAGCCATCTACAGTGTTTTTTCTTGCTACCTCAATCTTTGAATTTATTTTAATGTGTTAATATTTTAATGATTCTGTAAGGCTACGTAAGAAATTGTTCGGTGTGTGAGCCCTCCTGAGTGTTTGCTGAAACCTTGTGCCTTTATTTTAAAATTGTTTTGTCTTGGTGGTTCAGAGGAACTGGTCACTGAACTTAGGGGTTTGCCAGACATGATCCCAACTTGGATATCCATCCTGCCCCCCGCCACAGGTGACATTAATTTCTAAGTGCAAATACTAGGTGCTTTAAGAGATCTCTTTCCATAAAGATGGAAACTTTGCTAAATTTGCTGGGAGCAAACTTAAAACAGAAATGAATGTTAGAAATCTAGTTAAGAGTAATCTGCTAACCATAACCCAAAATATAGTTCCAATGTAAACCTATGGTAACATAAACAAACCATTTGATTTAAAAGGGAATAAAAGGAGCAATAATAAATTGGAAGGTGTCTGTGCAGGAGGAAGTATAACCCTGAAGAGAGAAGGATGGTGAATGGGCAAGGAGGGTAGAAAGGTGCAAGAAGAAATGATGGGCAGTATCCCAAGACAATAACTTTAAATAGGAAATACTGCAAGTGTCTCGGATGTTAGTGTGATGATACGGAAATTATAAAACTTATTATTGGCAAAGACCCTCTGACTCTCAGTTAATGTCTGCTTCATTTTTGAAGAGGCAAATGTTTTGTTTTTCAGATAGTTTCCACTTCCATTTCAGTAGAGAACTGAAAAAGGTAAAGCAGCTACCAACATCAGACCTTTCCGTAATACTACATCTAACTTGCATTTATGAGGTTCAGCTTGGTGAAGACCTTCCTAGGCTATTTGTGCTGTTTTTCTTTAGGTCTTGGAAAAAAGAGTGAGTTTCCCAGGACCTAGAAAAATACTGCAGTTGTGTCAATAAGGCAGTGTAAATGGACTGAGCAGACTGCAGCCTGCCAGCCTGGCATCAGTCCTTGGTAACATAATGGATTCTTTTATCTGACACTCAATAAGAAGTGAATGCAATTAATGTCAGTCAAAATAAATCTTGTCAAACTAATTTACTCCTATGATTCTACAAGTTTTATGGATAGAAGTAGCAGTGTCAATGTAGAAGACTTCTGCAAGATAGTCTGTGATTAAGAAGCTAAAACATTTGGAAGCCGCCTAGTGTTAAGTGTGTTTAAAACGAATCTCACTAATGTAGATGGAGTTGCTCAGGGTTTTGAGTGGTGCTCTAGAAGAGCTGGTTCCTGGCCATGCTGCACTTCTATAAGTGACTTGGAAAGGAAATGCCCAATCACGTTTTTAAAGGGAATGGAGTAATGAAGGTTGAGTCACCCCTAGTGAAGCGACTGGGGTCCCTTTCGTGGCTGTATGCAAACAAAGCTGAGCTTTCAGCAAGCGAAATGTGGGGTTCTGCAGTGAGTGAAGTAGAATGCAGAGTGTGCCTGGTGCAGAGGACTTTGGCCTCGAAAATAGTTCATGAAAGGAGCTATTGGTAGGTAATAATTACTTGAATCCAGGGAGCTAATATACTGCTCTTAGCTGGATTGCTTTGGTGAGCCTTGTACAAAAAACCAAAGGATTCGTAAGTAAGAGGTTATAGTGCTAGTGGGTTTTTGCTGCTGAAATGCTGTGTTTGAGTCTGGAATGCATAGTTCAAAAAGGATAATACTAAACTGGAGATGCATCAGGGAAATCGGAGGTTAACAAGCTGAAGAACAAGCCATAGTGAAAGCCTCAGGACAAAGAGGTGATGTGCTCTGTATATTAAACAGTCCTGGAGATAAGTGAGTTTTGATCCAGCAGGCAAGTCCTTAAATTGAAATAGTTTTCTTTAACTGTGAAATAATTTACATATGAACACTTTATTGGAGCTTTAATGGAGACTTTCTGGCGTTTTTAAATCTGAATCGGAGGTTTTGCTAAAAGATAAGCTCCTGCAGTGCAACTGTTGGACTTGATAGGAATGCAATTCAAGAAAGTCTTGTCACTTGTGTTGTTCAGAAGGTTGCACTGGGCTATTACAGTGGCCTTGTCATCTCAAAATCTTACCAGATAGACTTTCATTTTTTTTCTCACAAGTCATTTTGTCAATGTTCAAGTATTTAATCTGTAAATGCTGTTGGCATTAAATAAAATCTTATTAAATCTGTTCATTTTGCTCAAGAAAAGAATCCCTGTGAAAACTGTTTTTTTTTTTCCAGTAAATTATTTGGTTCAGATTTAAATGCAGTTGAATTTTTGAAATGTGTGATAATCTAGTTTTCTGCAATGGCATCTTAACAGAAATAAAAAAAAGTTAAACCAAGGAAGAAGATAGTGTCCTTCTTAAAGAGAAAATTTGACTTTGGGAGTAGAGAAAATCTCTACTAAACATAAATGCAAGGAGTACGGTTACTTCAGGCATGCAGTTCGAGTATTAAATATAACTGTTAGGACACAAAGACCACACTGTGGGAGAGTAACTCCAATTCTGCAGTACACTAACACTTCCATATATGTTTCATATCTTCAGTGAGAAAAACTATGTAGGTTGTACACGTCCATTGGTTTTAGGTTATGGAAGTGGACAATGCAACCTTGTAATCCCGGAGGGAAGGTGTTTTCCTAGTCCCGTGAATGTTACCGTGCTGGATTCCTAGTTGAAGTTCACATTGCACTTGCCTCTTACTGGGAAAAGAAACACTGTTTCTTGATTTACAAGAGCAAAGATGGGTACTAACCACATAATTTTAATCGTGAAAGTCATCAACCTAATAGTTTGGGAAGTTATGGAAGATAATAAGATCAAGTCTGCTTACAGGCCTTATATACCATGCTCATTCACTTGAAGAGCTTTGAAAGTATTTAATGTCAATAAGCAAATGCTTTTAACTATTGAGAGATTCCCAAAGAGCAAATAAGATGTAGTTTTCTTGGGTTTTGGTTTTTTGTTTGCTTTTTTTTTAGAAAAAAAAAAAAGACTCAGTAAAGCGTGAGGATTCATTTCAGTTTGTCTTTGCCCCCACTCAAGCAGGCTATTTTGTCTTTGGCAGCTCTTAGCAAGGCTCTGTTATTTGCAGCAGAGCACTGTTGGCCTGATTAGTTTTGGGCAACTTTTTTCTTCTGTCTGAGGACAAGACTCCGTTTCTTCCTCTTTCCTTTGCTTTCTTCTACCTCACCATAAGGTGTTTTTCATGGAGATACTCAGAAACCAACCAGATTTCAAATTTCTAATCTTTTGCATCTGTTTGCATCATTGGCAGTGGTGTTCTGAACGCACCACGTTGACTTCGTAAGGTGCTCTTGCTCCAGGCTCCTTGGATCTGTTTTCCTCAGTGGTGGAAGTTGTGCACTTTGCTCCAGCGGTCCCTCGGAAGGCACCTGAATGTGGCCTTTGAGAGCCCTTGGATCCTTTTTGACCAGGGCAGCAGAGTGCTCCATTGAACAGGACTGGCTGTGATTTTAGGATTGTCCTGGCCAACAATTTCCACCTGCAAAGGTTTTCAGACTCTACTTTTTCTCCTAGAGTCCATGAGTTGCATTCTGCTCGCTCATAGACTGCAGAAGAAAGAGATTCTCTTATGGAATGAAGAGTCTGGACGTAGGCCTGAACATAAGGGGTTAAAGTTTCACACAGCCTGTCCACCCAATTTTCAAATCGGAAAAATCTATGAAAACTTTATTGCATTGTACCATCTTAAACTTAATAAAAATTGTCAAAGTGACAATGTCTCTCTGCTGAATGGATTTTCTTGCATCATCTGGATGTCGCTGAACTTAAGTTGCTTTCATTTGAATTGTGCTGATGATCTTTTTTTGTTCCATAGCATTGAACAGATGGGTTGATTATTCTTTACAGATATTAATAAAGCAGCGGAAAGAAGAAATATGAATAAGGCTTCATCAAGGTCCAGCCCGACACGAAGGTAAAGTACCTGGAAGCAGTGAGTTATACTAGGAAGGTCATGCTTTTGGGGCATGATCCCACTTGTCACAGTGCTAAATGTTTTTCTCTTCCCTACCAACACCTCCCCAATCAAATGGAGATGCTCAAGTGAAGCTATCAGGATGTGACAGCTCCACCTTTAAGGGCTTTGCTGTCTCTAACACCTTGGGAGGCACAAGGGAAACTGTGTCTGTTGCTGTTACTACAACTAAGTGTTGTTTTGCAGTACAGGTTGTACAAAACCTGTAAGGAAGAATAAACTTGATATTTGCACCCAGGTCTCAAGTATTGGAGAAGCCAAGGCTTCTGTAGAGAATGCAGGGGCACTGTGGTGTCCTCTGGGCTGCGCTGCAGAGGACTTCGTTATTTTGCACCTAGATATTGAAAGCTTTCTGTGCTGAAATGAGACTGGAAAAGGAATATGCGCTGAAAACGCAGGACAGAATAAAAGTCTCAGTTGCACTGTACATGTGCACTTGCGTTGCCAACATATGGAAGATGCCAACCTGCCCGTCTGCCCTGTGTTTACCACCCTTCAGGAGGTACAGAGTGGTCTACCCCTGCACAGCCTGTGTGTGAAGTCACAAGCAGGAGGAGAAGATGGATCCTTCTGCCGTAGGAAGAAGACTTCCTTTCCCTATCACACTAGGGAGTGCACAAAGACACGCTGGGTTTGCATTTGGCGTAAGCTACGCGTTTTTTATGCTTATGCTTCAAAGCTCTGCATGCACAAAGGAGTGCTACATACTGAACTTGAAGGTCATCAAGCTCCCAAGTGTCTGAAATGCAGTATTAATTTGGATCACGCTGAAGAAAAATGTGCAGCTAGCAAGACATCTGCCATTCAAATGGAAGGAACAGATGCCAAGAGCTGCAAGTGGATCTCTGTCTATGCTGCACTTACCCTGCATAGGGCACTTGCAAAGGCCCGGGAATGTACAGCAGGCGCTGGAAATGCTTCAGGCACGCAGCCAGGGCTCGTGTCGCGGGTGCTGCGAGAACAAGGTACCTGGCACAGTGCAGCAAGGCTGGGCCCAGGCCGTGCTGGGTATGCTGATGCTGCTGGCAGAGCCCCGGGGCTGCAGGTCGGGGTGGCAGGCACTGATGCCACGTCTCGGGCCAGGGCGGCACGGCCACAGGCTTTGGGCAGCGCCGTGTAAGGACAAGCAGCGGACACCGATGCTGCAGGCGGGTCCTTGCTGCAGCTGCGTGCATGCAGGCAGCAATGCTTGTGCTGTGGGCACCGGGCCTGGGGAGCTCTGCAGGTGCATGAGCTGCGGGCACTGATGCTCTGGGCATTGAACTGGCCTGGACCACTGCTGGCTGCTGCAGCAGTAGGTACCGCCGTGACTGGTGCCACAAACACAACTGTGTCTTGATGTCAGGGGCTCTGACATAGGCACAAAGTGACGAGCGTGGGGTCCTGGGCGTTGCTCGAGTCCTGGATGAGACTGCAGGTGCACAGGCCCTGGTCGGGATCATCCTCAAGGCACGTGAGCCGCAGCGAGGATGCCGGGGTGCCGCGTCCCGCGCCACACAGCAGCTCCAGGCCGTGGTGCTGCGCCAGCAGGATGGGTCCGAGCAGCACAGCAGATGCAGGCAGGGGTGCTGATGCTGCAGGAGCTGTGCCCGGTGCTGGACACGCAGGAACAGAAGGCTGGTGTGCAGTAAGGCCGGCTCTCTGCAAGCAGCAGGGCGCTGGTGCAAGTCGCCGGAGCAGAGGCACTGATACCTCGTCTGTAGTTTTGTTGCAAGAGTCATAAATGTGTTGTTCGTTCTGGATTTTTCTGTCACTGCAGGTAATGAGTATGGCCTGTTGTGGCGCAAAAAAAGGAATAAATGTCATATACCAAACAATTATGCTGCATCTGGCTGTTGTGCTATATAATCATACGGCTATAAGAAGATCAAATACAAGAGTATTTGGCACAGCCAACTCAAACTTCTCCTGAGCTTCTGCTCCCCTTCCTTTAGGCTGGTGGGGGGGACTGGGGCAGAGGCTCTTGCTCGTGGTGTGGCTACACTGCATATCGCAGGCAGAAGCACCAGGCTGATCTGTGCCTGGAATATGAAGGCCCTTCACCGTGAAGCGCGTGTGTGTGCAATTACAGCGCATCTCTTGCAGAAGATTGTCTTTGTTCCCAGTGGCAATGCTGGGGTTTATTCCAATGTGCGTTCTCTCTCTGGCATAAAAAAGAGAGTGTCGGCGATCCTGTGTATCCCCCGGACATGGGGGTGTCTGAACTGCCTGGCCTCATGCACCGAATCTGCGTGTCCTTCTCATTTACTGCCTGCTCTACCTGCTGTCAGCAGCTGACTTGCTGCTGCCTCCAGCTGGACACTGAGTGGATGTGCTGTACTGGAAACAAACCTGCTCTGTGTGTCTTTCAGAAACCCAATTAGTGTTAGCTAGAGGCTATTGACGTCTGTCAAGTTTTGGAAATAAAATAAATTTTTAAAACTTGTTTTCAATACTCGTCAATATCCCGGGGAAAGGATGTTCTAAGTGTGTGAAACTCAGTTGTTTCTTCGCTTTTGTTTTTTTTTTATTTTTTTTTCTCGGATATTCAACTTAAACTAGAGTCAAAGTTGTTTTCTGTGGAAAACAAAATACCACCTGGAAAAAAACCCAATCTTTTGGAAAAGATGAAGAATGGAATTTCACTCTTCCTTTACTCTGAAGACAGTACAGCACAACATCTGAATGGAAGAGATCATTCAGATTTGATGGAGAATCCTGATGAGGGTGATACCGTGCTGGTTGGGTTTGGTACCCTCTTACAGGGCATCATAAAAATAAGACCGACCTTCTGCAGGAAGCATCCCTTCAAAGTCAGGACACGTCTGTAGCTACCCTTGTGCTCTGCTAGCAGTACAAAACCAACAAGAACTGACTGTTTCTTGGATCGTAACAAGGTCTTTTTTTAGTCACATACCACTAGCAAATTATTTCAGGAATTCTGTTGTCATCAAGCAGGGAATTTAATGGGTCACTTGAATGCTGCTAGCTGTGCCATACTATGTGTTAGGCTACATCACCTTGAATTTGCTCAAGGAATGTCCAGAATCTCCTCTGATAGATAATCCATGGCTGCCTTTGGATGCTGGAGGCCTTGGAATGCTCTTGGATAGTTTCTTAACTGCCTGTTGACTTCTTCCACAGGTGCCCTACATTTTCAGTGGTGCTCCAGTACAGAACTTTCTGGGACTTGTTTAGTTATAATAAGTATTTGAATTCAGAAGCTTCTCCTCTGTGGTGCTTTGACAAATAAGTTTTGAGGCAATTTGTGCTGTTATGGGATAGGAGGGAGGATTCGGCAGCCGAGAGAAATGTCCCTGGCGCCTCAGGTAAGAGATGTAGCAGTAACGATACCCGTGTGGTCTGACAGACTTCCCTGGTGTTTTTCCCAGAGAGCAATATGCCTACGGGGATGGCCGGGACGCCAGACGCGATCGCTCCCCTCTGCGGGGGAGCCCCCGAAGAGACCCGAGAGACGGCAGAGATGGTAGAAACGGGCGGGAGTCCAGAGACGCTCGAGAGATTCGAGCTAGAGATATGCGCGATGCCAGAGACCACAGGGACCCCCGGGACATGCGAGACCCCCGAGATCTTCGAGACCCCCGGGATATCAGGGATCCAAGAGACTTGCGGGACCCTCGTGATGTCAGAGATCTTCGTGATCCACGGGAGCCCCTGTACGATAGATACAGGGATCCACGCGATGTGAGGAATCCACGAGATCTGAGGGATCCGCGCGACGTCAGGGATCTGCGGGATATGCGAGATCCTCGGGACCCTATGTATAGGTAATCTGCATGGATCGTGTTTGCCAGCTCAATCTTTTGGAGCTCTTGCCTCTGTGGCTATACTGATCTGAGTGTTGTCAGGTTATCAGGAGAAGCTAATTTGTCTAGTTGGGGGCAGTTGGGTACCTGCTGTGTATCAGCAGGCGGATGCTTCAGTAATTGGACTTGAGATAGGTCTGCGTGTGACGCAATGGCAGAGGTTATTGCATGAAATACTGACACATGGAAACCCTTGCTGCTTCTGTGACTGTTTGTTGCAGACGAGATGAAGCATATGACCGTTACCTTCGCCTTGAGGACTACTATCGGAGGAAGGATGACTCTTACTATGACCGTTACAAAGAGCATTTTGATAGAGCTCCAGTGAATTCGGAAGGTAAGTGTCTTCAAGAGTTAACATTTTAACAGGCAGGCTCACGTTCTCCCTCTGGAAGGCCAGAGGAGATTGTCAGTAGTGAAACCTGCCCACAGTGCATTACGTTCTGCGACACTAGGTTATTTGGAGATTGAGAGGTGCCTGGCTGCACACAGCAAAGTGCTCCAAGCAGATCCAGAGGACCTTATCCCTTCTGCCTGTTTTTATGGTTTGCTTTCAGACCGTCTGAAGCGTGAGGAGCGACGGCGAGAGGAACTGTACCGCCAGTACTACGAGGAAATCAAGAGACGTTTTGATGCAGAGAGACCCGTGGATTGTTCTGTGATCGTGGTGAATAAGCAGACTAAGTAAGAAAATAATTGTGTCTGTTTATTATCGGTAGTAGAAGAAAAGAGTTAAATTTTTCTGCTTTGGGCTGTTTGCCTTGCCCCTAGCCACCTTTGTGGAGAGTGGTTTTAGGACCCTGAGAAAGCTGGTGCTTCTGTTGCCATTCTGGAAAAATTTATTGTGGGATGGAGAAATACCTTTGCACCTTTTGTTTTCCTCTTATCACCTACCACTGCACCATCTCTTGAACACTTTTGTACCCACTGTTGCAACAGATTACAGTGGCCTGTGCTTGTTTTTCATGGGCCTGTGTTAATATGTGCTCCTCAATACTTAGGGCAAAGCAGTTGCCAGTGGGGAGTCACGGGGGTTTTTGTTTCAGATCTCTTTTCAAATTGGTTATTAAGTCAGGTGTCATTCAATACCATTATTAATAAAATGTGCAAGAAATATAAAATCACTGCTGAAAATAGTCGCAAATGATACCAAAAGCATGTGGTAAATAACAAAGACTCTCCTGTGGTGCAGTCTGAACTCTTGTGAAGGTGTCCTCGGTCAAACAAAATATGTTTTAATACAGTTATATGCAAGGTCATTCATCTAGAAACAAAAATGCAGACCATGGCAGTAGAACGATCATATTTCTCTTGGAATGTAATTATTTAAAAGGATTTTAGGAGTCAAATGGACTTGCTGTGGCAAAAATGCTAATGTGTCCTTGGTTTGGAGAGCAGACAGTGTGTCAGGAGCAGGGAGATGCACCTGTGCATGGTGTAGAGAGGAGTGCCTCACTGGTAACACCGGTCTGATGGTGTCTATAGCTTCGTATGTTCACACATTATATGTATATGTATATGTGTGTGTATGTATTATATATATACATATATAAAGAATAGGAAAGATGTAAATAATCATAACTCTGGTTTGAGGTCTGAAGAAAATTTTACCTAGGGTAAACTTTTCTGTCTCTTTAGCCTTTCTGAAGAAAAGATCAAGTGATGGATTTAACATTGCCATATCAAGGCAGAAGGGGATAGTTGGTGCTTGCCTGATCTGGTGCTTGAAGACAGAACAGGAAATTAGTGTTGGCAACAAAGTGAAATTAGAAATACGTGTTTTATGGTTTGCTTTTAGTGGAGCTGATTACCTATCAGAACAGATTTTTTGAGGCAATGTTAGTATCTTTATCTCTTGGTGACTGAAAGTGTTTGGAAGATATTTTAATAGAGCACAAATTATTGTATACAATGAGAATTTTGTGCATTCTTTTGTACAGAGGGATCAGTATGAGGTGCTGTGAATCCTTGTGGTCTGTAACAGCCACAGACCATAAGAACTGGGGCATGCTGGAGCATGGATTTCAAAGCACTGGTGTCCCCTCCTATAGAACTGTTGAGGAATGATCCTGGATGGCTTCAATGTATAATGAGTGTAACTTAAAAACCCTGAAAATGACTGTGTTGGGGAGGAGGGGAAAAAAGTGTTTCCTCACAGTATGTGCTGAGGAATAGTGACTGTTACAATGTGGAACTCCATCAAAAGCTGAGAACACACAGTAAATTTGCTAGAATGTATATACAGTTGATACTACAACTTATACTGCTTGTATAGTTGGTACTGTCCTAACGAAAACTTTATGCTGGGCCCTCTGAGCTATGGAAGTCTGCAGGACAGTAGCAACAGGAAAAACTGCTGCATAGATGCTGTGTTTATACTGGGAAAGAGCTAAAGAGCTAAAAGCAAACAGCAGAACAAATAACATCGAACTCGGGTGGACATGTATTGGTACCTGCTCTCTGAAATTTAATCTTCAAGCCCAGAAGTGGGTCTGTGCTGCAGTGGGTTGGAATCAGGTACACGTGGACAGTCGGGATGTTGAACATAGCACAAGTAACCAACACGGGGAAATAGCTGCTTTGTTTTATGCCTGTTAGATTTCTGCTGACATAACCTCAATTGATATGAGATCAGTTTAAACACATTGATATTAAAGCAAATTTATAATAGCGAAAATCTTTTTTTCAGATGTTCTTAGGTAAATCGAGGCTTATTTGTGATATATTTCAGTTAAGCTGAACTGACTGATTGACAACAAGTAAACGTAGGATATAAGATTTTGTTTTATTCTAATTAGACTGGTTTAACACTTCAGTTAAACTTCATGAAGCCATTAGAAAAGCGAATCTGAGATGGAGAGAATGACTGTGCCAGGGCTTCTGTTTCTGTATGTACTGACCTGACCTGTGCTGGCTCTGTTTGTGGTAGGGAGTACGCAGAGTCAGTGGGGCGGAAGGTGCGGGACCTGGGCATGGTAGTGGACCTCATCTTCCTCAACACAGAGATGTCCCTGACGCAAGCCCTGGACGATGTGAGCAGAGGAGGGTCTCCTTTTGCCATTGTCATCACCCAGCAGCATCAAGTTCACCGCTCTTGCACTGTTAACATCATGTTTGGCACCCCGCAAGGTACTGAGGTCTCAATGGGCTGTGCAGCTGTGTGGTCGCTCTGAACTTCTCAGGGTGTTGCTCCAGAATGTTTTCTTTCAAGCGGAATCTCTCAAGGATAAAAGTTCATCCTGGCTGTGGCATAACTGTTTATTAATGAATCGGCATCATGTCATAAGTCTGAATAACATTAATTACAAGTTTCTGTAATATTTTATGGTCCCTTGCCAAAAGGACTGTTTAATTACTGCCAAGGAAAATCTCAGCTGTATTTTTAGCACCAGCCGTCACCAGCCCTTGCATCCTGGGGCAGGTCATGAGCTGTAGCTCCAGAAATGATTGAACTGCTTCAGTAGACTGGTGAGTATTATCAGTGCAGCCTGTGCTTATCACTGGTTGCTCTCAGAGACAAAGTGCTTGGAAAGCGACAAATCGCAGGACAGGTTTTATAACCAAATGAGATTTAAGAGGAAGGAAAATAGGAACAGTTTATTCTGTCAAGGTAAAGATCTGACTGTGAAACTGGAAACAGTTATAAGATGATGCAGCTATGAAGTGATTGGGTATATGTGCTCCCCTTCTTTAGCATCATTTACACTTGTCATGTCATTTTCCATCACAGGGGGAGACTTGGTGGTTGTGAGACTGAGGGCAGGTTTTAGCAGGCATCTTACCAGAATGTGGTTTTGGAAAGCCAGCCTCTCGCCCTGGGCATGGCCCGTTGACACTCACATGGAGACGTGGGTTGTTGGCTGCTGTCGAGCTTCCAAAGGCTTTATCTCCCTTACTGCTTCTCAAGTAATGTTTTGTGAGATTCACCCAAGAGCGCTCACTTATGAATGCAGATCCGCTCCTTCTGGTTGTTAGTGACTGAGGAAGCCCAGTTTCATTTAACATCTGATGCAGATGTGATTGGAGGCCTTTCCATTTCCAGCAGAAGTACAGCCCAACCACATTTCCACTGGACTTTCTGTTGCCCTTGTTTTTGCCTCTCAGTACCTTTACTGATACAGTCTGCCCTTTTCCTTCCCTGGATCTAATACTGCATTAGGTCTCATCAGAGCCCAGTCATCAGCTCATGAATGTGCTGTAGTTGAGTAGCACATGGACATCTATTCATGCATGTGAGTTTTAGGGAGCTCTATTACTACCTGTGTAAAGCCTAATAGTAAAATGAACCTCAATTTCCTGTCATGGGCCAAATGGGTGGCAGGTTTTATAGATCTGTAGGCTTCAGAAGTGCCCAGAGCTTTGTACCCTTTTGGAAGATAGAGTCCTTTTTATAATTTGCGTGCTTAAATCTGTGTCTGGGAACTATTTTTGTATGTGCTTTGTGAGGTGGAAATAATGACCACAAAAGCTTTTATAATGTAGATGGAAAATAAAAATGTTGGAATCAACTATTATTTGCTTTATCATAAAGGAACCTTAAATTTATTGCTGCTTATTTCCCCCAGAGAATGAACAGAATGAGCACTATGAAATTCAACCAGTGCTCCCTTCCTCCCTATCTTCTGCATGCACATGCACTATATTAAGGTTTGACATTAAGGAACCAAAAAAGAAAACAGATGTACATCAGTTTTATTCCATGCCGAGGAGACCTTACTATCCTTTGTAGGGCAAGTCTTAGACCTGTTGCTAGAAGAATTTAGTAACAGAACAGCTAGACGTTTCCTGGTGGAAGCAAGGAGAATCTGTGAGAGAGGCAGAGGGGGTTGCTGGCTCTTTTGACTGGTGGAGAGGCAAGAAAGGCATTTTTAGACTGTTACGACATTTTCTTGGACCCCTCATCTGTTGAGGGAGCAGAGCATGGGCTTGTTGGGTGATAGTCCTGAGCCTTCAGCTGGCTTTTGAAACAATCACAAAATCGAACTGTCTTTTTACTGAACGCCTAGGGAGATTTCCAAGTGTGTGCTTGTGATTCCAAAGAGGTACCTGTCTGTTGAATGAGATGTGCTGGTGTGAGTGGGGCAAAAGACCTCCCGTTAATGTCACTTTGATTTACTTAAAGTGTTTCTTTTCCTTGTGCAGAACACCGCAACATGCCCCAGGATGATGCCATGATGTTGGTGGCAAGAAATTACGAGCGCTACAAGACAGAATCACGGGAGAAGGAGCGTGAGGAAATAGCCAGGCAGGCTGCCAAGATGGCAGATGAAGCCGTTCTCCAAGAGCGGGAGCGCCCAGCGCCCATGGAGGAGGGTGGCAGGGGAGGGCACCCCCCGGGGATCCAGACCCTCCTCAACCTGCTGGCTGACAATCGCTATCTAACCGCTGAGGAGACGGATAAAGTCATTAATTACTTGCGAGACCGTAAGGAAAGGTTGCTTAGGGGGAGCACAGATTCTCTGCAGGGTGAGTTTCTCAGCCCTTGACAGCGTTATTAATCACATGAGCTGTGGGCCGTCCAGACGGGACGGGAACACAGTGGTGGGGCCACGGGGGAGTACAAGTGCTGTAACTTTTCCACACGGTGCCTTATCTTGCTGAGATGGGGTATTCTCAGGAGTCCTGAGACTGCTGTTATCTTCCATGTGGATTCTGTCATGGAAACCACAGAATTGCTGTAACTGGTTTGGCTCCTGCATAAAGGGCAATAATTCTGTTAAGTGGTTTGGGCTCCCCAGAGCTCTGCAGCTCTCCTGTTTAGAGCGGGCAGTCACTGACAGTTGTGTCCTCAGTGGGTGTCCTGGTTCCTTTAGGGGCTTCTTCAAAGGTGTTTGCAGAGCTTTAACCCTCTTGCCTTTCTCTTCCAGCACCCATGTCAAGGCAGTCTTTGGGAGCACCTTCAGGATCATCCCTGGGCAGCCAGTCCAGCCTTCCGAGCTCCCAGGCTCATCAGGGTTCACAGCCTCTGGTCTCTGCTCCTTCTGTTCCAGTATCCTCTGCTAATCCTCAGCAGGAGCTGCAGGCCAAAATCCTCAGTCTCTTCAACAGTGGGGCAGCAGCTGCTGTAGCCAACAGCAGTTCTGCAGCCTCAGCTGGCTCTTCGGGTGGCGCTCCGAGCCAGAACTTTGCTAACATGGCCAGCAGCCAGGCCCGCTCGGCACAGATGAGTGCTGCAAACTTAAACCAGGCCCAGCAGAGATTGCAGACTCCAGGCACACAGCTCCCTGCTCTCCAAGGCCCTTCAAGGAATGCAGGTCCAAGACCCGGAGCTCCTCCGCCAGCTCAGTCGCTCTACGGTCAGCACCAAAATCGCCTGCCTGCTCCTGGGAACGTCCCTGCTCAAAGGCCAGTATCTTCTGGTATCAACTTTGACAACCCTCATGTACAGAAGGCATTGGACACCCTTATCCAGAGTGGCCCTGCGCTCTCCCACCTAGTGAGCCAAACTGTGGCCCAGGGGCGAGCAGGGGCCTCGGCCCAGCAACCAATGGGTTCCTACCAGCGACACTATTAAAGCTGAGCTGTCAAGCCCTTTCCCCTTCCCTTTGCCATTCCATACATATAGCTGTTTAAAGAGTCTCCTGTTCTTGACACAGGACAAATGCCCCTGGATGTGCATGCCCTCTCCACTTTGGTGAGAGTTTACCCCAGTGGCACTGCTGCTGAGTGTTGCTAGCACTGCCCTTCCTCACGTGGATCTGGTAGCACCATCTGCAGAGCTGTGCTCCACTTTCTCGGTGACAGGATGTGTTGGGAGCTGCTGTTTTGTCCAAGCCAGAAGTTACTGCAGTGACAGTCCTTCTGCATGTTCCCCTCTCGCGGGAGCTGGTGCACCTTCACATTGCAGTGCAGTCTGACCTCACCAAATGGTCTTACTGTAGTTTTGGGGTCAGTGGTTTTGAGAAAATGAGACAGGGGACTGAGCAGAGTGGTACCCTGATTGGGCCTTGTGAGACACACTTTTTGAAATGGGCACTATCTTTCTCCCTCTCTTTCTTTCTTTCTCCCTCTCCTTCTCTCTCTTTTTTTTTATGGCATATAAGCCAATTTAAAAGAAAGGTATGGCAGTAGTGCTAGCAGCTGAACTCCTGAAGCGCATGTCTAACCACCACTCAGCAAGCGAGGCCAGTGCAGTTTGACCCTTGCAGAGCCACGACTGCCATCCCTGTCAGTGAGGCAAACATAAACAGTCCTTACCTGGCCCACACGATGGAAACTGGAGGCTTTGGTCTGAGCACTGTGGATATCCGGCAAAGAGAACTTCCAGCCAAGGCAGAGACTTCAGCTATTCTGTCCATTTCCCTGCACTCAAGTAGTCAAATTCAAGAGCCGGCTGTTAAATCTGGCGTATACATTTCCTTATGATACTGCTTTGGGGCAGTTGGCTACTGTGACCCAGCTCTCAAATAACTGTGGCCAGTTTCCAGGTGGTGGGTGCCTGGCCTCTGAACCTTCATCTCACTGTTGATTGATGTTTTGTCCATCTCAGATGCAAGAGGCAGTGCCAAGATACAATAGTTTGGTTTTATACATCTTTTTCAACACCTTGGTAGCTGCAGCAAACAATTGAATGGAAAATCAGGCAGATTCTTCACCGTGTTTTTAACCAGTGACATCCTTTGATACAGAACACAAGACATCTCTGTGGTCCTCCTTTGCACAGCCTTTCTGGTAGTCTGTAGGCTTCCTGCAGAGGATTGAAAGAAACTAAAAAGGCAAAGTTCATGGAGCAAAGGTTTATTTGTCCCAGGTGGTTTGTGTTGTAGCATTTTTTTTCTCTGTGCTGTTAACAAGAGGACATTACTTTTTAATAAAAAGGCAGGAAAAACGTTTTGTTGTGTTTTTGACACTTAACAACCTGAGTGCTACAGGAATTCATTATTCCATTGCATTTGCTGTTACTCTCTTCTTCCAGGTAAGCTGCTCCGACGCTGCCTGCTGCTGCATGCTAAGGGGAACGCACACACATCTTCTGCACCAGTGTGAGGATGCTGTAGTCAGTCTTGGTTTATGATCCTTTCATTTTAAAGCACTTGGTAGCTGTTTATTCTCCTGTGGTGCATTAAGACTATTCAGATGGTGTCAAGCAGAGCAGCCCACCTGCCCTTACAGGAAGCTGCATGACTGCAGACAGGTAAAGCATCCTCTCCGGGGTGGTCAGAAATTTCTGCTAGCTTAAGCATGGGACCTGTGGCACTTCTGAGAAGCTGCTGCATCCTTGATATTTCACCTCCTCTGCAATCTGCTGCTCCTGGTCATTGCTTGCTCCTTGTTATAGAAATACCAGCCAAGTGAAAAAAGGTTACAGAGACCCTAGAAACAACTGAAAACTCCCCAGCAAATAGTGAAGGGTGTAATAAAATCATTTATTGCATTTTGTGCAGACAGGAGTCTAAAAAAAAATAATACAGTTAAAGCAATAAAGCATTAACAGGGAGCATTCAACAACTGAGGAGCCACTCCTCCATTAATACCTGCACAGAGAACACAGGGGCTGTATTGAGGCGGCCTAGTGCACAATACTGAAGCACTCACAAAAAATTAAATGCAAGCCTAGTACTCTTTTTTTTTTTTGGTTTGCAACCTCTTTTTATTTACAAGGTTTTAAACTTAATTGCATTGCTCTGCACACAGATTCTCTAACACAAAGCATACTAGGTCACTACATGTCTATAGAAATATTGCACTGGAATAAAAGTCACTTGTATGGACGTAGAACATCTAGCTACAGTGATTAAAAGATAGTGAATGAACTGACCGTGATAACATTCATAACAAATATATTGCACATGTAGCACAGAGTGGTGGTGTAACCAGCAGCTCTCAGACCTGTCGGTCTTTCTGCTGGTTATTAGTCCTGCTACACAGAGGAGGGTCTTGACTCATCTAGTGCAACCCGTTCGCCTCGGGCAGTATCTGTCCTCCCTCTAGTCTGGACAGCCCCGGCCTGGGCTGCCCTGGTCCCGCGTGTGCCGCACCGCGGGCTGTCACCGGCACCGCGGGCTGTCACCGGCACCGCCGTGGAGCGGAGCCGCTGCTGCCGGGCACGGGGGCCTCTCCCTGCCCGGCGGAAGGGGGAAAAGCAGCTCCCTGCGCCCGTGCGGAGGAGCGGGAGCGGCCGAGCTCCTGCTGCCGCCCCCGGCCCGGCGGCGACACGCTCTGCCCTGCCTGGAACGCAAACCTCGGAGGGGGTCAAGACCTTCCTGTCTGAAACAAAAACCTTCACGTGTCTGCGCATGTGCCGGAAAGGAACTTGCATTTCTACCACAGGAGGACACTGCCTTACCGAGGTGGAACAGCAGAAGGGCGCTCCACGGGGAAACCAAACACGCACAGAGCCGAACGTGCAGGGCAGGGCTGGGTTTGTAAACTAACATGCAGTGCTGTCTGCTAAAACTGGCCCTCGCCAGAGCGGCGGCGGTGGGGACCTTGCTGCGGCAGAGCCCGGCGGGGCCTCGCGGAGGGGACGCGCGCGCCGCTCTGCAACGGGGCTGCCCTGGCGCTGGGGAGGCCGCTGCGACTCAGCAAGGAGCAGCTGCCCTGGGCTCTCCCCGCGCCTGGTGGGTGTTTTTGGCCCTGCTAAGCTGTTCCTGCCCTTGGAGGAAGAGCTGTTGCCTTGCGCTGCTCAGCGGGGACGCGGGCTGCCCTGGGGAGCCGGGCTGGCACCGCGCTCGGCTCCGGCCGCGGGGCGGGAGGACTCGGCCTCGCTGCCCGGGGCAGCCCCAGGCCAAGCCGTAGGCACCGGCGCGGGGCCGAGCGGAGCACAGACCTGGCCTTGTGATCGGCATCGGAGCCAGCATGGGGACCAGCAAGGGGCAGAGCAGCTGGGAACTAGGAATCCTGCTCCAGCAGGGCCCAGGGCCACAGGCCCTTGCCCAAAGCCAGGGCTTCTCTCGCCTGTTCCAAGCAGCAGAGGCAGGACCGGAGCTGCCCTGTCCCATGATCCGCCTGGACCCAGCACCGCCTCGGCTGCCCTCGGCGCCTACCCTGGCAGGAGGAGCCAAGGCCCTGGGCACTGTCCCGGCGCAGGCAGAGGCGCCCTCGGAGCTGAGGACGGGCTCCGGTTTGGGCTGCTGCTGGAGAGAGAGGGAGGCACTTTGGGAGTGACGGAAATGCAGGAGCAAGGTAGGAGCAGGCACGGCTGTGCAGCTAGGCTTGGTTTTGGCCTTGGATTGTGCCCAAGTAGTAACTTAAAGCAAAAAAAGCAATCTCCCTGCACACCTACTGCCTCGCACCCAAGTGGCCCCTGCATCTTTGGCGGCGCTGGCGCTCGCAGGAGCGCAGCGGGGCCCTGCTTTGCAGAAGGGTGGGCAGGTTGGTGCCGAAACCCTCCCCGCAGAGCGGCCCAGGAGGGCCGCGGGTCCCTGCACGGATGCAGCAGCAACTGCTCCCTCCGGGGCCGCCCTGGGGGCCCGCGGGTGCAGCTCAGAGCAGGGCAGGAGGAGGAGTGGGGTGAGCGCTGCCGGGGCCGATCTGCTGCCATGGGGCCAGGCCAGCACAGAGAGGGCAATTCTTAGCAGGCTGCACTTGGAGTGGAAGCTCAAATCTGCTGTGAAACAAGTTCAGAAAAGTCTGTAACTTCTTTTCCCTGAAAACTCTGAAGAAGCTAAATTGAGAAGAGAACGAACTGGTGAGCTGGCCCTTCCCGGGGCTCGGGGGCGGCTGCTGCGGCCCCGCTCCGAGCACCCGGGTGCCGGCGGGCGGGCGCCCTCCCTCTGCGGAGGAGCCCCCGCAGCCGTCGTCCTGGTGCTAGCAAAGCCCTGCATCTCTCAGTATAGATATAGATCTCTATATATAGACTTCATCTGTTCTATTAACATAAATATGATCACTTTAAAAATACACGTATTGTATTATGTACACTATGTACAGGGGCCGAGGCCGGCTGCCCTCAGCACCGCTTCCTGCGTGGTTCCTAGAACCGTTCACATTTGTTAAATTTCTCTAACGTGAGAGAG